CCGATTTAAAAGGACAACTAAAGCAAAATAAAAGTTGATAACTTTTTAAAAAGTAATATTACTAGTCAGATCAGCGGCTGAGAGTTTTATACAGTGTAACCTGGATATAAGAGAGATTTTCTCTGGTCCTAAATTAGAGCCTGTGTTAATGTATATAAAATAGACCAAACCCGGATATAAGAGAAACCCGGATATAAGAGACTTCTTCTCCGGTCCCGACAACTCTCTTATATCCGGGTTACACTGTACTTAGCGGAGTAATTATTTGCAAACCAAGACTTGGCCGATCATGGCTCTCCACAACTTCCTTCTCTACTATTTCTTTACTAACCGTCGCTCTGCCATCCATTCACATCTTCTTTTATGCACTGTGTACCTTCAGGTCGTAAGCGACCATGACCCTCCACAACGTCCTGTCTCTTGTTGCTATAGGCAACATTTGAGTTTTCCCCTGTCCTTCCTTGTCCCCATTCTGTCACTCATTCACACATTCCTCTTTTATATGCCGTGTTCCTACAGGACCTGTGCGTTCATGACTCTTCACAACTTTCTGTATTTTATTGTTCTAAATCACATTTGACGCTTCTCCGCCCTCCTAGTTTCAGTCCTGTCACTCATTCACACCTTTCATATGCCTTGTCCCTTCAGGAATTCAGTTCATAGTTCTCCACAACTTCCCGTCGCTTGTACCTCTAAGAAAAGTTTGATTCTTTGCCATTTCTTTCTTGTCCCTGTTCTGTTATTCGTTCTCATTTTTATTTGCCGTGTTTCTTCAGGACGTGGATGATCATGGCTCTCCAATATTTCCTGATCCTTGGATCTCTCAGCAACGTTTTACTCTTTACCCTCCCTTCTTGTCTACGAAACATGCTGGATTCGTGAATTAGAAGAGAAACATTAACCAGGGACTTGGATAGATTCATAAAGTGGTTCACGTTTTCGTCCAGAAAGCGTGAACCGCGGAAGTAGATGGACCCATAAAATGGAGGAAAACCTGAACCCCAGAAGTTGGTGGATCCATGAAGACTACAGAAAACAATGAAGTCTACAAAAAAAAAAATCTCGACTGTGTCTAGAACTGAATCTGACAAAAGTACAAAAATCCCCAAAATACAGCTCAGGTGATCAAGTATGGGTTTATTAACAACAATGTTATAAGAGTGATCAAGCAAGATTCTAATCTTGAACTCTCAAAACTCTCTGGATGGAGCTCACGACTATAGGGGATGCAAGAAAACACCCCAGCATTAAAGATCGACTGAACTTCGCAAAAGAATAGGTGCCGAAATCGGTAACAGAGGAAAGGATAAAAGATTATGCAAATTTACAAAAACCTCTTGGAAGCTGGAATATCGAATAAATTTCTTTAAAATCTACGCACGGAAGCCTACTGGGATAAAAAAAAAAGTGTACGTATTGAAATCCATTCTAATCAAATGTACGCATTGTGGTTGACACTAATAAAAAAATAAGTGGCCTATAGTTATACCCCCCACCCCCACCCACAAAAAAAGAAAAAAAAAAACAACATATCAACTCGAACTTGCATACCCACTAAAAATAACGTTTTTAATCATAAGAAATAGTGATGGATAAAAAAATCCATTAAAAAATTCCTGTTGTCTATGCTTCAGATACGAAACTGAAGCTAGAAGATAAAGATTCGTAGAAAACCCAACGAGAAAAAAACGGTCTTTCGTTAATAGTTTATTTACATACACACACACACACACACACATACATATATATATATATATATATATATATATATATATATATATATATATATATATATAGTTAAATTCCCAGATCAACTCTGTGGACAAGACAGATTGGTATAAATCCCTTACTATAAAGGTAATTTACATTAAACAGAAAAAAAAAAACTAGACAGAAGCGTCTATCTTTTTAATTTGGATTTTTAATGTAACTATAACAACAAAAACATTTCGATTTCATTTTTACCTTGAAAAAGTCGGAACACGAAACGCGTCGGCAAAATCTAAAATGTTTCAAATTATCATTTTATACCACACACACACACATATAATTTCTTCGAGAATTCTAACATAAATCACTACAAAAATAGCCATTTTGTTTCAACATTTCTGGTGTCTTATCAAGTGGTGTTGAATGTAGAATAAAGAGTTTTCCTTTACTCTGTATTGAGAACTCTTTTATGAATAGTATTTTTGGTTATTGAAATTTATTCCGTATACACCAATCCTATACTTATATATATATATATATATATATATATATATATATATATTAGGTACCTCCAAATATTTTCTAAAAGGGAGAGTACCATGATGAAAAAAGGTCCCAAACTTGATAAAAACAAAGTTTTATCCTCAAAAATGTTTATGTTATTATTAAGAGGAAAGAACAAAGGATATTTTGATTATCCTATTAATGGTTTTAATTCTTTCTAACACGTTCAACATATTGGCTAAAAATCTTGTTTTGCTTCCGTCAGCAGGTGGGGAGATCAAAGAATTATTAAAGGAATTTTTAGCGTTTTTTTTCCGTTAAAAACACATTGATTTGAAAATTCTTGCAAAAATCAAATATTGTTGTATTTTAATGAAATTTACAGGACTTATTCATAAACCAATGAAATTATCTTCAAATTTTTATTTTTAGGAAAATCTTAAAAAAAAAAAAAATTACATCTGGCACACCCACTTAATTTTATGAAAATTTGATAAATTGAAATTTCATGGTTTTTGTATATATATTAGTTAAAAGCGGGGAGAATTTAAATCATCATTTTTTTTTTTTTGTCAAACAGTAACACCATTTAACAAAAATCTGCTCTGAATCATGAAATAAAATATGAAATATAACTATGACTTTATTTAATTAGAAAATTTTTTAATTACTTTTCTAAATAGGAGATGTTAAAATAATTGTTTTGAGTAAAAAAATAATATTTTTCGATGAATAATGAATTTTTACAAGAATTATTTTTATTTTTTTAATTATAATAATTTATAAAGTTTTAAATCTTTTAAAATTCTGTATAAATTTCAGCCTTTTTGATAATATTATTATTAAGTGAAACTATATTTACTAATCATAAATGGAAAAGCATAATACAAATCATCAAACATTAATATTTCAAAAAGAATTTTGAATTTTTTGTGTCTATAAACGTGGTGAATTTTGTACGAGCCACCATCAGAAAATAAGAGCGATAACTATAGTAAATTTAAAGCCAAAATTTCTAAGATTCAATAAACATTAGATTACAGAGAATATCTTCTTAAATTTTTAAGATAACCGAGTACTTAGAAATAATATATAAAATTGTGCTCATATCATTTTTTTCAATTATGTTTTATAGATTGTCTCTGTAGGACAATATTCGATCTGTCATCACGCTGTCATCACGTCAATACAGCTACAGTCGAGTTAAAAAGTAAATAATATTTGTTTCAAATCAGGTTAATTATACTTTAAATTGGCTCATAAGTACGGGTGACACTACATAGTAATTTTAGAGTCAACATTTCTAAAATTCAATAAAATATTAGATTACGGAGGATATTTTCGTAAATTCTTATGATTACTGAGTACTTAAAAATTATATAAAAATGGCGATCGCGTCATATTCTTCAGTTATGTTTTACAGATAAAGTCTATGTAGAACAACATTAAACATGTCATCAGGCTGTCAACACATCAAAACAGTTACTATCGGGTTAAAAAATTGCATTTCTGTCTTCGGTCTGGAAAAGCAATCTGATACAGATGTACAGCCTCGTTTTCATTACCATTCGCGCAGCCATATGTAAAAATCATATCTGCATGAATAGCCTGCCATTGGGAAATGGAAATCTCACTTAATTCATTACGATAAACGTTGAAAACAGACTAGCCACAAATGTACACGAATGACAAATGTAAACTCATCTACATGGCAACACAGCGCCATCTACCGTAAACTTTCTTTAAACTTAATAACTCAAAACGAATGACCTACGGACATATGTTTATATGGACTTCTGTCCTTGTTTTGGTGGGAGGAACCCGCCCTCAAAGTTTGTAAAAATATTTTTGATACACCTTATATATATATATATATATATATATATATATATATATATATATATTATATAATTTAAATATTCAATATATATAATAATATATATATATATATATATATATATATATATATATATATATAATTTAATTTAATTCAAATATATATAATATATATATATATATATATATATATATATATATATATATATATGTATGTATGTATATATATATATATATACATTCAATTTAATTCAAATAATTATATTGAAGTTTTTTGGCTCTTGTTTTGTCTTGTTTTGAAACATGAGAACTCTTATGTACCGATGGAATCATATTTTTTAAATAAATAATTATATATATATATATATATATATATATATATATATATATATATATATATACCCATTGAAAAAATCCTTAGTTTGATGATGAAAAATGATTTAAAATACACAATAAATACTTATTTTTTAATATAATATCCTTACAATGCTTCTTTAATCATAAATTACATTGTACAGTAAGAATTTCATAGTTTGTCTATATTTCTGAGACGAGGTATTATGTACAGTATTTACATTAGTCGGACTATTGTCCTCATCTTTGTCGCCATATTTGTCACAACGTTTCGGCCGTTGTACGCTCCGGCCTTCTTCAGGTGGTTGGAATTTCGAACTGAACCCTTTATTTCGATCGCTGGGGTAGACTGTTCTAATTCCACGTGCCATGTTTGATGGATGTCAGTTATCAGTTATCTCCTGCTAATTTTCCCTCTGAAAGTTCTCCACTGCCTTAACCAGGAAATGAACTCACCTTCTTTGGGTCTGTCACTGGATCTAACCAACGCCTTTATCCACTGTGCCATATGTAAGAATTTCATATCAATTGTGTAACTGTACAGACTTATTGTTTAACCTTCGTATTAAAGAAAAGTGTTAAAGTGTTGTACTTACCTTCCTACTGTTCCCATTGAACCCATTTCAGGATCTCTTGAACAGTAATCCGGGGATTTTGTATAATAGATAAATTGATCCGAACTGATTGATTTTATATTTGGTCTAATTGGTACGAACACTCTTTTTTTCTTTATCCGTTTTGTCTTGACTTCAATTGCCAGTGCATGGCGAGTCTTTAGTGTCACTCCAATAATATGGAAATCAGGCAGAGATTTCCAACAAGTCTTTATATTGCAAGATCCGGATACACCATGGCATTTGCAGGCCACCGAGAGACTTTTGCTGACCACCTGAAAAAAAAAAAAAATGAAAAAAAATTTCCGAGATTAGATAAAAGCATTTTTTTTGTTTTGTGAAAAGTTGTCTAGGGTTTTATAAGAAACGTCATCTTAATGGCTGTTATATCTGGTCTGGTGCTTCTGCTATATATTTAGAGATTCTTGGTAAAATTCAAAGAAGAATTTGCAATGTTATTGGCCCTGACCTGGCATCCCGTCTTCAGCTATTTTCCAACCGTCGTAATGTAGCTTCCCTCTACCTTTTCTATAAATACTTTCATGGTCATTTTTCGGATGAACTCTCGTCTAAGGTACCTAGACTTTATGAATTTAAGTGTGTTGTAACAGAAAAAAGTTTACTGAATAAGGAATAACCAAAACGGAGGTTAGAAATGAAATGGTAATCTTTATAACATCAACAAACTACAATACTCGCCAGCGGCGTGAAGTAGGTAAACCACTACTAGTGGTGGACTACTTAGACACCATATTACGATATTTATTTCTATAAATAAAAAATGTGGCACAAGGCCAAAAGGGGGAATGGGAAAAGGGACAGATTTCATTTGTCTTAACTTACCTAGCCACAAACACTGGCCCAAGCAGACCACAGTATTCCTTACGCCAAAACAACACATTCTTTTTTACTTTTCTTACTACATTCACCATAATACCTCATTGTCTCTATGAAAGTCCTAACTAGACACCATATGTACAATTTATTGTCTGTGGGGAAAGTGGAATAAAACAACAAATTTAATATTTTGACCCAATGATTATTTACAATGATGTACAAAACTATTTACAAGAAACTAAACAAAAATAATGTTAGTAATAAAAAAAAAAACCGCACAGTCCCATAAATGTGGGAGAAATATCAGTTAACTGGACGAAATCAACTTAGATGGTATCTAGCAACTGCCCCACGCAATCACATGTGGCACAAGGCCGAATTTAATGTGGTGCTCCCGAGCCCGTAGGCTTGGCCAAAAATCCCTGTAGACCCCGCATAAACGGGGACTCTGCCCTTCGGCATAGCCTCTTCCGGATTCCTCTCTGCCCGAAAGCAGAGAGTTCAACCGTATAGCTGAAAGGATTTCAGCTAGACAGTATTTACTAGCCCCCCCACGCCCAGGGTAGATCCCAGGGTAGATGTGGCACAAGGCCGAATTTAATGTGGTGCTCCCGAGCCCGTAGGCTTGGCCAAAAAATCCCTGTAGACCCCGCATAAACGGGATGGGGTCTGTCTACCCCACCCCCACCCCGGACGAGACTCTGCCCTTCGGCATAGCCTCGTCCGGGTTCCTCTCTGCCCGAAAGCAGAGAGTTCGACCATATAAAAAAAAAGGATTTCAGCTAGACAGTATTTACTTGAACCAAACGCCCAGGGTAGATGTGGCACAAGGCCGAATTTAACGTGTGACAACCGAGCCCTTAGGCTCGGCCAAAAAATCCCCGTAGAACCCGCATAAACGGGATCGGGTTGGTCTACCTCCCCGAACGAGACTCTGCTCTTCGGCATAGCCTCGTCTGAAGGCAGAGAGTCAAGCGGTTTTATTGCTTGAGGTGAAATGATTTAAAGAAAAAAGAAAGAAGGTTTACGTGTTGGCAATGTTTCTGTGTAGCTAGAGAAAATCAAATGAGAGTCAGGTATGTATTGGGAAAATATTTCCTGGGGTTGTGCATTACTACCTTGAGTCACGTATTGCCAGCTTTGTTACCGTTACAGCTTGTAACGTGCATGTTTAACTCTTCGCTAATCTACGAGGGTGGGGTCAAACTCTTAGTACAGTTGGTTTTTCATTTAAAATATTACAGATATATCATTTAGTTCTTAATTTTCTTGTTAGTATATTGTCTGGGGGTGTTCTTTTGGCTTTTATAGGTTAAATGAAAAAGAAAACATTTTTATTTGGAAAAACTAAATTAAATTGGCTAGTATTCAAAATGAATTTTTTCAGTTTCAAAAATTCAAATGTACAGATATAGGTTTTTATTTTATATTCTGTATGATCTTTCAAAACAATTTGTGATCAATCTGACTCGTCTTCAACTGCTTTTCCACACCACAAGCAATGAACAAGAACGTTACTATAGTTTTTGCATACGTTTTTATCACAATTATTATAGAAAGCATACCTTTATGGACATGTGCTTGTAATTCACAGAAATATGACAAAAAATAGAAACTCCTTGTGGTTACTTGATAGAGGAATTCAAAATGGTAATTGACTAATCATGAAAATTTAACTTGCCATTTGCTAAGTATTAAAGAAAGAAATATATTTAGTTCTTAATTTTCTTGTTATATATTGCCTTGAGAGTTCTTTTCTGTTTCTTTTTTTTTTTTAAGATAAAGAAAATATTTTGAAACATTGAATTAAAAGGCCAACATAAAAAAAATGAATTTATAAATTTCCCAAAATCAAATCTAAATTTCATTTTATTTTCCATAAACAAATAAAACTGCTTGTAATTCCCACAAATATTCTGAAACTCCTAATGGTTAGTTCAGAGGGAAATTCAGAAAACTACATGACTAATCATAAAAAATTGATTTGCCATTTGCTACATTTAGGTGGCTGCAAAAGTAGGTATATAGTAATGATATTGTATTGAATATACTAACATATCAATAATAAATATATCGATCTATCAAATGATCAGACTGTTTGTCCTGCCATTCACACACCCTTTTGTACTTGTAAAATATTTATTATTATTATTATTATTATTATTATTATCTATTAAAAATAATAAAAATTATAATAAATGTATTATAATAAAAATTATGAAAGTAAAAATATTAAATATAATTTTAATTAAATATAATTTTAATGGCTCAAATCAATTAAATATAATTTTAATGGCTCAAATCAATTAAATATAATTTTAATGGCTCAAATCAATTCTAGCATTAAATGAATTCTAGAACCACTATTATAATATTGGTATAATACTTACTGTATACCTTCTTTTGGGAAAGGTATGTGTTGCAATGTGGGGTCTGGAAAGATAACACATAACTCAACAGAATCAGTCGTGATAGCAGCATTCAATACTCAGCTAGACAAATCACTACAATAGTATTATCTTTCCACTAGAAGTTTACCCAGGACTCTTCATCATGAATGGTTCAGCCCATTATGATAGCAAGGAGGTAACTAGCTCTTACAACAACAGTATGAAGATCCATCTTCTCTAGCCAGCTATGAGATTATCAGAAAGAATTGTATCATTAAAATAATTATTATCTCAAAAAGCAAAAAATGAATAAATAAAATTGCGTAACAAATATTTAGATTTCGGTATTAAATAACCCATATAGGTTGATATGGCGACTTTCTAAGCGTAGCTTAGATGTGGCACAAGGCCGTACGTATTGAATACCCAATAAGAATCGAACTCACTCGTCAGTCGTAATTGATCTTAGCGATACAAGGCTGCTAAACATTACAGCATATGGAAGTGCTCAAACCCCTACAGGTTGATATGTCAAGAAATTAAAACAACCAGCATCGTCAATTGGATGCTTAGCGGCACAAAATCTTCCTCTGTTCTTTCCCTAGGCCTTGCAACTATTTGCATCATTTGGACTGTTGTCCTCATCTTTATTGAATATGAACTTCTTCAGATGACATACGTTAGAATTTCGAACCGAACACTTTATTTAGTCCACGGAGGTAGATTGTTCTGATTCCACGTGCCATGCCATCATAGCTTCAGTTAATTCCTTTTAGTAACTCAACTCTGCAAGTTTTTGTTCCGTGGCTAGGTATTGAACTCACAACTCTTTGGGTCAAGTCACTTTTTGGATTACTTCAACCAACGCTTTTATCCACTTGGCCATAAAGTGTTCTCTTCGAAATTCCAACGTATGCCATCTTGAAGAAGGCCGTAGCGTACAACAGCCAAAGCGTCGTGAATAGGGCAATAAAGACGAAGACAACAATCAGAATGGTGTAAAGAATAAATATCCATTTATAAAACGCATAAAACATGTAGCATTGAAGTAATTTGTATTTAAGATCGGTTTTCAGTTGCTTCGGGGCATCGTTTTATCTTCAAAACACACACACAAACGCACATACACACACAATCTACGTTCAACATATCGTTAAATGAAAACTGATTTATGCAAAGCGCTTATCAAACTGGAAGTCTTGTCAACGCCTCCGTTGACACGCATTTCTCATCCGTCTGGTTTATTTTGAATCGTAGCCCTTAAGTGAGGGGCCAAAGTGCGATTATATAATTTCACTTAACGTACCATCTTTGCCGAATGCTTTAAACATAGAAAAAAACTTAATTTCTTTCTCCGTGACTCTTTGATCTTCTCCATGTAGTTTAGTCTTCAATGGACAAAATCTACAGAAATTATGCCTGTATGGTATAAAGTTTAAATAACTCAAAAGATACTATTAACCTTAAGATTTGTATATTGCAAAAACACTTATCTGATGCCTATGCTCATGCGCAGTGGGACATATGCAAATTCTTACAAATATGGAAAGCGGGAGGGAGAAAAAGTTAAAAGATTAAGTAAGCGTTTATTTTCACAATATGTGTAATCCTTTCATTTTTTTTTCTTTCTTTCTTTTACTCTCTTTCTTTTTCAACCGTTTTTTTTCATTCTCCGTCCTTCCATACCCTTAACTCTTTTCACGAGCGCTCATAATGAACCCATTTTCCCCACCCACTGTTTAATTTTAGTTTTATTCTTTTTAAAATAATCCATTCATTGCTTTCCTGTTTCCCTGCTGGAAACCGGTCGTTTGAATCTCCCTTTTTAGATGCTAGGTAATTAAAAGCGTGGGTAGTAGAGGAAATACTGTCGCGGAAAGTGGGGCCGGCGTGTCGAGTTCGAATTCAGCGCTAGTCTGTTGCGTTCACTTTCGCACAAATGCTTTTCGGAAACAAAATACCTTTTATTGCGTTGCAGTTTACATTCGAACTGTATTATCGTATTTCTCACTAATGAGATATTACATGCCTATCATACTGTTTCTCTA